ATGCTCTATTCCCACCAAAGCAAAACTGACAGAAAAAATCAGCAACTTCACGAAGGCAATCTCAAATCAAAAGGGATGGAATGGATCAATCACAAGGCAAGCATCTCACTGGATAATTCCAGCACAACTCGACTATGCCGTACAAGTCACCACTTTAACCGATACAGACCTAAGCAAGCTACAAGCAAAAATGAACAAAGCAATTAAAAACAAAATGGGCATAGAAAGAACAATCTCAGACAAAATCCTATTCTCACATGCAGGACTCAATATCACCAAGCTCGAAAACAGAAGAGACCTCACAACTATCAAACTGCTAGTCACCAAGCTTACCAATTCAAAAACTATTGCTCAAACCAGAAATGAAATAAAGTCGATACAAGCAGCAAGCGCAATCTGGTCATGTCCCATTTGTGACCCATCTTTCTTCAAAACAACATGGCTGACAGCGACAGCACAGCTAGCAAAAAAGTACAATATTAACATCTGTCCCTCCCCATGTCCCTTCGAAGTCCCAAATCACCAGCAGTCAATCGGCCTCTTTACCAAAATTAACAAAAAAATGGCTCTATCACTCTATTATGCCAATCTTAGAACAGTACAAAACCTATTCGTCTTTGGAACAGGTGACAAACTTTCATGGCAAGAACTCCATACGCATAAAGGTTATATATCAACTGGTCCCGCCCCTCACTGGTTCACAAATATTCCACAATCAAGTTCTACAATCATCGGAGACACATCACCAGTACCCAACCGCAGACCACAGTTTTGGGCTTACCTAACAAACACTAACACACCAAATTTCATCAAGGTCAAACGTAACGCTATCGCACGCCAAACTATTACAGGTCCTCACTACACAGTCAACAATGCCAAACAGTTAGAGGCATGCACTTGCAATATACAGCCTTGTTTCAAAACCCGCAATATTAACGATCTCAAATCCATATGGTCAACAAAAAGAAATGGTCACCACTATATTCTTAACAATTTGCAAGAACTTACTAATAGCATCGCCCCCAGACCCCCTCACACTTCAACTATAACTATACCCTATCAGTTTTTACCCCCGGCACCAACCCATTATACAATATACTTTCTAAACAATACCACAATTACTACACACAACTCTCAGGCAGTCCTCACATACAATTTGAATTCTAATCCTCTTTCTCTGTTCTGGTCAATTCTTACCTCACTCTGTTTAAATGCTTCTCAGCTATCTACAATCACCTGCTTTTCTATACACAGACTCAGTACAGAACTACCTGAATACATTAACCGTCAAGTAAAATACCCTCACAGCAACCTCATTCAAATTATCAACACGCAACTTAAAAGCAAACAGATTACTCTAACCTGGGTCTTCGACAAAAAAGAATTCCCCTCAACAATTCCTCAAGGCATATCAACATCTATTCCTCTCGTGCTTCCAACTGTCCATAGTACATCCCCACTAATCAACACCAACCTTGCAACCAGTATCACACGATGGATCAAATTTATAAACTACTACACCAACCTCTTCAATATTCTTCTAAGTGAATCTGCTATAAACAAACCTAGAAGCTTCTCCGAAATGGATATCATTATCAAATCTAACAAAAAACTGTCAGAAACAGATAGACTAAAGTTTCGATCACTAGCAACCTTCAGAACCAAAATCATAGCAAATCAACTTCCTACCCGAGACAAACTTCACAAAAGATATCCTCTTCTCTACAAGGATAATCTGTGCCCCCGATGCGAGGCACATCCAGAAACCTTAGACCATATATTTTCATGTCACCACAGTCTCCCCACATTAAGGAAAAAAAGAGACAAACTTGAGGCTCTCATCGCTCTCAACATCCCCAAAGAGAAACTCAATTCAAGGGAGGCATACCTTCTCCAAACAACCAACACAACAGGAAAAATTTTACTCAACCTAGCTCTCGGCAAATTCAACAACCCCTTCAATATCATTCGGAAAAAAGAAGAAATTTCAAATCATTCCCTCAAAATTCTGAACAAAATTTGGAAACAACGATCAGCAACTGCCACTACTTCAACAACCTCAGGCATCAAGTGGAGAAAAACCACCACTGCAGCTACAACTTCTAATACTAACTCTCCAAATACAAACACTTTTCAGAAAATACTTAACACTTTAAAAAATTCAAACAACCTTACTGACAAAATAATCTTTACACCAGCCATAGTATCATCGTTTTGAATAGGCATTAGCCATTCAACACCTTTAGTATGCAAACACCTACTTGGTGTCATTACGTACTAATTGAAAAGTTGCAATAGGCTACAATTAACTTAATTTCCATGTATCTTAAAGATTGTTAATGTAATGACGATAAACTTTTGTTTAATAAATGTCTCGCATTTAATGCCTATTTGCGATTTAAAAAAAAAAAAAAAAAAAAAATAATTTTAAGTAATTATTAATTACTTAAATTAAATAACAAAAATTTGAAATAAATAGAAATTAGTTAAGATTATATTTTGAAATATACAGTATTAATTAAAAAAGTTTTAATTATATTTAATAATTTGAATTTAGTTTTGAAATGATTGATTAAATTAATAAAATATTGATAATATTATTTGTTAGATAAAATAAATAAATTATTATATAAATCTTTTATTTTTTTTTTTAAGCTATCTAATTATCTATAAATATTATTTTTTTAAAACTTAAGATTATTTTTAAAATTAATAAAAAATAAAAAATATTAATTAGTTGAAATTTGAAATTTATATTTTAAATAAACCATATTTCTAATTAACTTTTAATTAAATTTCAACTTTATATTCATCTTTACTACTATAAGACCTTTCAAGTAAAGCCAGCTTATACTAATAAATTAATTGCAATAGACTACAATTAATTTACTTATTGTAAAAATTGTTAATGTAATGACAGTAAATGCCAATGCTTAAATAAAATCTCATGGTTTTGTGATAATAAAAAAAGATAATCATATAATAATTATAATATGTTTGAATTTTATAATTGATAAAATATATTTTATTTATTTAAAAATAGTAATATTTATTTTTTTTTTTAAGAAAAAAAATAACTAATAAGAATTCTTTTGCGGAGATAGCTATTCAAACTTTAATGTCGCGCCTAAGGCATGTGACATCTTGACTAAAATTTTGAAATTCATTTGCAGGTGGTACATATGTACAGCAAGAAATTTGAAATTGTCTTGTTACAATATAAATACTTTTAAGCAAAATATCGGATTGCGCAACTAACAAGTTTCATACAGAACATAATAAATCTACAAAGTTGACGTATATATCTGCGCAAATGTAAAAGAAAAAAAAGTCTATCCGTGGTTAAGGTATATAAACCAGATATACTGGTCTCGAATCAATAATGTTTGGTCATTATGAAGGGAATGAAGAAAAAAAGAAACAAAGATATACATTGTGTTATATATATGAAATATAAAAATAGTATCAAATGCCATGCTTACCTAACAACTAATTTATAATTTACCAAATTGTCTAAAATAAAGTAATAAGATAAATTTTACGGACTGCCCTTGAATGAAAGCCTATTCTACCAATACAAGATATAAAAGCGATAATATAAGGTATTAATATTATTGGATAAATTATACAGTCCATTATCCACATTTTCTCAACATCATCTTAATAGCCTATTATTCAATATGAAACATCAATTTTTTTATCCCCTCTTAGCATTCTCTCTTGCAGTTCTAATCAACGGTGCGAGTGATTTCAGAGGTTCTGCTTTTTGTAAGAATGGATGCTATTATAAAAAAAATCAGTTAGTTCAAAATAATGACGCTACTTAAGTAAAGGAGCGTTTGCAATAATAATTACCTTTAGAAGCTCAACTGCTGTTGGTCTTTTTTCTGAGTCTACTTCCAGAGACTCATTCAAAAATCGTCTGAAGACACTTGACAAACTTTCCGGATTTTGCAATTGGGGCGTTCCATTTGTTGCAATAAGATATAAAGCCTACATATATATTGAAAGAAATAACTAATCAAGCATTGAAAACGAAATTACAAAAAAAAAAAAAATTTTTTTAAACCATACCCTCAAAGGATTTTCGTTCAAATATGGTGGTTCACCTTCAACCATCTCAATGGCCATAATTCCTAGTGACCATATGTCAACCTTTGGTCCGTATTCCTTACGTGTTACAACTTCGGGTGCCATCCAGTATGGCGTTCCGACCATTGTTGTGCGTTTATTGTTATTTTCATTAATTTGTGCACAAAAACCAAAATCGGCTATAAACACATGACCAGTTAGCAAATAGTTTAAAATATGTAAAATAAGTCCCATAAAATTTTACGGAAATAATACATACTTAATTTAATGTCGCCATTCAGTGCCAATAAGACATTATCACTTTTGATATCTCTATGAATAACACCCTTTGAATGCAAATGTGCCAAACCTTCCAGTGTCTAATTCAATAAATTAATTCAGTGATTGTCAAAACATTTCAAAATTTCATAGTTTTATTTATACATTACCTCTCTGCATACGGCCGCAATTTGACCTTCTGTCATTATATTACTTGTCACAACGTCTGTCAAACTACCTCCTTCCATATACTCCATCACAACCCAAAGGTCACCTTTCCAAAGAAAACTGTCGATGAAGTTCACAATGTTGCGATGTCTTGATTCTTTCATAACCAATATTTCGTTTATAATGAGATCTTTTTTTGGTTGCTGTTCTAGGTTCATTTGCTTGATGGCGACTGACATGTTAGTTCCCACTTGATATGCAGTGTAGACACCTCCAGAAGCACTACATACATAATACATAATTTAGGAAAAAATAATTAGAACAAGAAAAGTCACTTGGAAAATTATAAAAGTAAAAGATATAACAGCATACCCCTGACCAATTTTAACCAAATTTCGGTATAGCTTTGTTGGGTCAGCATCAGTACAGATTGCCTTTAGCCTTTCGATGACATCAGTGTTGTCCTTTGCCGCTCCCTTTCGAGGATCTCGTCTCCTTTGACTACCAGCCTGTGGCTGTTTAGAAGTGGGAGGAAGGTTGTTCGACATTGGAGTTTTGGGTGTAGGGGGAGTCGTTGGTGGCCCTTGGTTGCTACCTTCCTTTGGACGAGGGGGTTTGTTGACCGGTTTTTGGGTGGAAGCTGGCATAGTCTTACCTTCGAGCGGGGGTAATGGTTGTATGGGTGGAAGTCTCGGAGGGTCTTGATCTAAATATTAATAACATTATTATTTTCGGGATAAATGGTTATATATACTAATTATACACATATAATTATTCCGTATACTTACTGCTTCGTGAAGGTTTAGGGGTAGATCCTGGTGACTTTGGTCGGTTATGATGTTTGAGATCCTTTATAAAGCATCGAGTATTAAAATTTCGACGTAATACAAAATTATAAATTTCTCTTTACGTGCAAGTTGTAATGTTACTTGCCGGTGGATTTTGCGGTCTTGCGGGAACAATGGGCGGTGGCGGTTTTTTCTTTTCCGGAGGTGGCGGCGCGGTTCTCTAATTCGAAAACGAAACATAAATGAATTCATTTTTCATGTGTTCCTGCCCAAAGATTGTTCGCCACATGGTTAATTTTTGAGGTCTCATTAAAAATTCAAAAATATTAATACCCACGGGATTTTCAAATATCTTTTCTACCACATGTGTGGGAGATGCCAAGGCAGGTGGCGTCTTTTCTATTGTAGCATTAGTAAACTTCTCCCAAATGGCATTCGGATTTTTTCCGCCTTCGGTATCTTGGTAAAATTTCACGATGTCTAACACGGCCTAATCATAAAAATGGCAAAGCAATTATAGTTCAATAAAAATCAAAATAGATATTTCAAGTATTTCTATAAATGAATGCGTACTTGAGGGTGAGCCTGTTGATCTTGTTTTGAAATTCCAGAGTCTTGCAGTAATTGTTGCCATTCTTTCGGCAAACCCTATAGTATATTTTGATGAAATCAATCAAAATTCGTGGATAGGATCATTGTGTAAGATTTTCTTAATTGCCCGAACCTCACCGTAAATTCACCAGTTTCTTGATTGAATCCAACATGTGTTAAGTGCACCGGATCATACGGTGACGAAATCTCTACCCTTTTTTGTGGTGCCATAAGAACTATTAATGTGATGTTATTAGTATACATTTGAACTGTATTCTTTCTTTTACATTGTGATCAAAACTTGTGTTTTTATAAACTTGCCTGACATTGAACTAACTAAATTGTTCAACACTACTTTGAACGATCTATTGCTTCCGTCTTTTTCATTGTTACTTTGTGAAACTCCGTCTCCCTGCACATTGATGACAGGCACTCCTTTCACAGAACCGCCTGGGATAAACTTTTGCGAGGTAGGGGAAAGAGCAGAATCACCCGGGCTTCCTGGGGATTTCGTTAAAGAACTACCAGCCGATGGGCTCCTTGATAATGGTGGTTGGGTCGCCGGAGGAGCTACGTTCGCACGAGGTGGTCTAGGTGGAGGTCCCAAACTTGTAGATTTCTTCGAGGTCGGGGGACCCCGTCGTGGGTTACTTATCGGAGAGTTAGACTTTAAACTGCCATTATGACTCAAACCAGAAGCACTGCTGCTCATTTGTACAAATTTTTGCGCTGATTTAGGTGGCGGCGGAGCTGAACGTTGAGGTATGAGTGGACGGTCACTAACAGTCTGTTCGTATAAGTAATTATTTTCTGAAGCTTTGGGGGAAGAGGTCTGAGAGTTGGTTGGTGGGTTTCTTACTGCAGGCGACGAGTTTGGTAAGCCACTGTGGGACGGTCGAGGGGGTGGAACAATGTTTCGTGGTGGTGTTTGTGTTGTACTCATAATCTTAATGTTTTTTCATATAAATTTATAAATTTGCACAGTTCATAAGCCAATTTTTTGCCGTGTCTTTTTAAAAAAGTTTGTAGACAACGGATGTTCGTTGGGTTCAGGGAGGTTATTAAAATATTTAGTCACTGATTGGTTCACCAAGAATGTAATTAAATTTTTAGTAACAAGAAATTACTTGTGTTAATTTTTTTAATATAAATTCTATCGTTATTTATTTTTTTTTAGCAAAACAATTTTTTTTAAAATTACTTATTAGAGATTAAAAGTACTATTTTTAAATTTTTATATAATGTAAATTGTAAATTGAAAATATATATACACTTTAATATATAATTTTTTAAAAAAAATTTATTTACATATTTTGAATTATTTTATGAATTGATTTAATTTTTGTTTTAAAACAAAGTACATAATGAATAAAATTCTTATAAAACGGAAATCAAAAATATTTAACTACCAAAGAAATTCAATTTTTTTCAAGTAAAATCTCGGTTAGTATAGTGGTTAGTATCCCCGCCTGTCACGCGGGAGACCGGGGTTCAATTCCCCGACCGAGAGCTTTTGAATTTTTTTTTTTTTTTTTTATAATTATATAAATGCGACACTAGAAGAAATTTTACACTGTAAATGTAAAATGCAAATAGAATCGATTCGAAGCTATTTATTTTCAATTAAAGGTTTTATCTTGAAAAACAGTAATTTAATTACGCTTAATCCAAAATGGGCGATACACATATTCAAAAGTCAATTTTTGATCCAAACTAATTTAAGAGGCGTACGAAAAACTGCATTTGGAACTATAGAATTGTCCAAACGCCCAAGATAAAAATAGTTTTGACGAAATCGTTTAATTTAAAAGGCTTGATTAAATTTCACGGGCTTATTCTTGATATAGGTATCCCGTTCATTAGTATGTTAGGCTACAGTAAACCATTACGATAATTTTACCAATAAATCTGGATATGCTATATTTGGTAACTTCATTATGTAATTTAATATTCGGGCATAGATACTACTAAAAATTATTAATTTAATAAACTTGGATGTTACGTAACTACCGTATTAAATTATTTGATATACTGTATATAATTTTACAAATAAATTACGTATATCTCTTTTGAAGGAAATATAGTTATTTACTTATTACTTTAATCAAAAAACTTGAATTAAAAAACCTTTGTACAATTATAATAAAAATAATATCAATTATAATTTTATAATTTTATTTATTTTTATTTAAAATTAAATAGGTTGAAAATTTATAAATAAAATATAGTAAATAATTAAATAGATTATATAAAATTATTTTTGCATTATTATTATTTTTTTTAATAAATATAGTATCTATTAATACAATTATTTAAAATAACTATCAAATAGTAATGATTTATTTTTATAATTTAATTGAAATTTTTATTTTTGTAAATATTATATTTTCTTTTTAAATAAAAGTAACTATATCTTAAACTTTTATTATTTAAACAATTTATAAAAACCAATTTTACAAAATATTATGAAATTAAAAAATTATTGGAAATTATTTTTTTTTATAATAGCAAATATAATTAAAATAAAACTTGAAAAAATAAATTTTAAATAAGTAAATATATTACATATTATATATTAAGTTTAAAATTTTTTTTTTTTTTTTTTTATAAACATCAATTCTTTATTATACGTATATACTAAGATATAACTTTGAAAAAGAACCTACATCTCTTATAGTATATGAGTTAAATGCTAGTTTACCAAAATATCTATCTTAACTATATTAGAAAAGAAAATTTAAAACCAATATACTGTTTAGATAGTTGTACGACAGACTATGCAATTTTGGTGAAAGATAAAAAAAAAGAAATTAAACACATGTTAATATTAAGTAAACAACTTTTCCCATCACAACTTTGGCTTACACAGCTATGGGAATAGAGGGGGACTGATGTGGATATGTACTTTCTAATAAATGCTCTGAAATTGTAATCTTTGGTTGGCACAAACTATCAAATCTAGGGGCTTCAAAGATCAAGTAAGACACGACTTCAAAATCTTTTAGTAGACACTCCAAAGGATTCGGTTAGTTTAAGCTACCAAATCTAGAGGCAAAAACTGTTAAGCAGGACACAACTCCTACATACTCGGTAAGCTGTCAGCAGTGTCATATTTAACACATATACATTAGTGTCCACATCATTGTTCTCTTTAAGGTTATTTATTTGATATTAACATGTGATAGGCTGTTGGAGGTTGTATTGTTGTTGTTGTTATTGTTGATGTCATTGTGATGATCGATGGTACAATTTTGGTGAGTTGTAATTGGTTGGAATATAATGTTGATCTTTTGATAGGGGTAAGTTGATTTCGGTTTTTGTTGTAAAAAAAAGAAACCAAGGTGCTTCTGTATATATAAGCGAAAAAGATATCAAACCAAAAGTTTTTCTCTATGCAACCTTCATTTACAAGATGCCCAGTTGTGAGAAATTCAACCAAGAGTCTCATCCTTATGCAACTTGAGTCTTTACAACCAAACTCTTAAAATCGGCTCATATGTAACAGGTCTTTAGGATATATAAGGCTTGTTGTATCGGTATTGGCAGAGGTAACTCTTTGTCTTGAAGAAGTGGAGCTAGTCTTTCATCCAATAAATCCAGGATTTGACCTTCCGCCCATAACACTCGGCTTTACTTAGCCTAAATCTCTTAGACTATCGCGAAAGGAGACAACCAGTTGGCTTCTTTAAAAGAGAATTTTTATTTTCGATAGTGGTAAAAAAAGGGAAAAAGTTTTTTTTTAGAGGAAAAGATAACTTGACAAGACCCCAAACTTGTCTTGTTAAAGTTTCCTAAAAAGGAAAGTTTTTCAAAAATTTGAGAGAAACAGAAAAGAGTTTTTTTCCTTCAAACTGGTTTTTTAATATAATAACAATAACAATAACTATTATAACAATAAATAACATTAATTATATTCTACTATTTATATTAATAAGAAATATGTTTTTAAATATAGTGTCAATATAAGGACTAAACTATTGATTCCTTTTTAAATATTCTTTTTATTTATATAGATTTTATAATTTAATTAATATAGTTTTAGTACAAGTAGTTTATATAACTGTAGCTTCAATTATATATATATATATATTTATATTTACTTTTAATTTTATTATTATATCTTAGAAAATTTTCTGAATAATTAAGTATAGCTACCACCCTCAGCTATATTTAGCATATAGTATTGTTTTAAATTTTCTAAGTAATTAAGTATAGCTACCACCTTCAGCTATATTTAGCATATAGTATTGTTTTAAATTTTCTTTTTTAATATTAGTTAAATATAAATAGTATAGATATGCTAGCATTAAACTTGCTGCTATTGTATATAAGAAATGTTATTTATTTTATGATATATATATTTTAAATATACAAACCAAATAAAAAAATGATACTTACCTATCAATATATATATATAATTATTTATTTAAATACTTTAATATATATTGAACAAAATTTATTAATAACAAATTACCTATTAAAATAATAATTATAGAAATCAAATAAGTATTAAATTTTAATAAAAAAATAAAAAAATCTTTGTTCAGAAAAATCATTAAATATAATAAAATTTTTACTATAAATAGAATTCATTATAAAAAAAACAAGTTTATTGATATATAAAATTTGTTTTTATTAATAAATAAAAGGTTTAATATATAACAACTATTTTTAATTAATTATAATGATTTTAAGTAATTTTTTATTTATTAAAAAAAATGTATACAATCAAACTTGAATATAATAAAGTCTTCCAAGCTAATTAGTAAAAATTCATATAATAAAATTCTTTTTTTATAATGAATTTTGAATAAATTCAAAATTCAAAAATTCGTTATAACCAGTATTTTAGTTTCATTACAAACAGTTTCATTATATTCAGGTTTGAATATATGGGTAATTATTTTCGAAGGCGGACCGGAAATTTTCTGGCATGATTCTAAAACTTATATTTGTTTAAAAGTTGGGTCTGAAAAAATCATATCTAGCATTTTTGTCGCCTTCAAAAATAATTACCCATATATAATTATAACCTATTGTTAAGTAAATAAATAAATAATTTAACTTATCTTATTCCAATCCTAGTCTATTCATTTATCTCCGATAGTAACTCTCGTTAGAAAGTTATTATAAACAAACATATTTAATTGGTGACTTTGCGATAAAAAAATATCTCTGAAGCTAGCGATTTCTTTGGGACCGATTAGGGCCGATAACGAAACTGGCTAATTTCCCGATTTCCATATAAAGACATTTATGTCACCATTACGTAATCTGCCAGTACGTCTTTTGTTATTTTTGGGAACGGGTAATTTAACGGGAAGGATTTCCAGCACAAACCACGTGAAAAACAATCACAACAGTTTTATTTTCGCAGACCATTTTTTTCTTTTAAAAAGCGAATGAATAATTCAAAATAATTAAAAAATCATGGCTATACATCGAAATATCGCCTATAAAAATCGATATGTTAAACAGAAGCTGAATGATTGGAGAAAGCAAAACGGAATACTGGAAGCTGAACAATTGTTGAAGGATATAAATGGTATTAACAATACGACGCAGGTGAAGACGAAAGATTTGGAAATCCCACGGAAAGCCTTACATTCTAGTATAGGTAATGAGCTATAAGATTTCGGTAGTTAGGTTTCTTAAGAGTACTAAAGTTTATTTACTTTACATATTTAGGATTCATAACATTATATTTATATCCAACTACCGATCCAATTCTAGTTCGTAACTCTCTACTTGTTGTATTTACAATAGTATTGACTGCGGACTTATTGCGATTTAATAATGCCACGTTTAATGAGCTCTATATCAAAGTAATGGGTTTTTTGATGCGAGAAAAAGAGAAAAAACATAAGATCAACGGCGTTGTATTTTATCTCGCTGGATGTATCGGCGTTTTATCAATATTTCCGAAGGTAAAAGATTATATATTATTATCAATTGATTTTATTTCCTATATCATGACTTAAACTCACTTTTTTATTGTACCTTCTTTTTATTACAGGACATCGCTGCTATGTCAATACTAATTCTATCGTGGTGTGACACCGCCGCTTCTTTCTTTGGCAGAAAGTATGGTCATTACACTTATAGGTTTAGTAACGGTAAATCTTTGGCAGGTACACTTGGAGCAATAGCAATCGGATCTCTAGCAGCATTGATGTTTTGGGGAGTAGTTACAAGGCAAGATCAATCGAATCTGACAATCAACGAAAGAAGCTGGATACCTGAGAGAAGCGCATTTCCATTGTTATTACTAGCATTATTGAACGGAATAATTGGGGGAGTTAGTGAACTAATAGATTTATGGGAATTAGATGATAATCTTGTCATACCTCTGGCAGCGGGAAGCTTTTTGTGGATGTTATTGAGAGGACTGGGTTTAGGGATTGGTGAGAGTTGGATTTCTTCATTCTTATAATGTTCTCCGGGCGAGGACAACTAAATATAAATTTATTGCTTGAAAAGGCTTTTATAGATTTTTTTTTTTTTGGTTTATTTGCACAACTTCATGTCTTCAAAAAGGCTGAACTTTTGATCGTTCAAATGTGAACTCGGAATTTTTATCGTGGTATATGTAGTTTTTTTTTAAAAAAAAGAACTGGAAAAGTGTAAAAATGAAATTATGAAATACTTTCACATTGAAGCCACCAATTATAGGTACTAGACATTCATTTTTATTTATTGATATAAATAAAAAAAAGGAATATCAATAACTTAAATTGTTTTAGAATTTGTTATATATAAATGTTTATCTTAATGTTTTTATCTTTATCCTGATTAGCGAGAGAATGCTGAAACTGATAAGCTTAAGACTAAATAAATGATTAATGTAAATTGTAGTTTTACGTGTAAAGTGGTGTCAATTTTTTTTTTTATTTTAAAAAATTGTATTAATTAATTAATTTACTTAAAACTTTTATTTTTAATTAGTTTCTTAATAAAAAAAATCCATAAAAAAATTTTTAACTTTATAAAATTATGAATTAAAATAATTAATTTTTAATTTTTTTAATATTATAAAAATTTATAACAATATTTATATAACAATTTTTGAAAATAAAAACCATTGTAAGTCCAAACTAATAATCATGTATTAATCATAAAAAAACCTATGTATTACACAAACAGACAGAATTCACATGCGATCTCTATTTTCATCAAGGATCATAAACATAGAATGTTCTTTGCTTTGCTTTAGACAACAATATAATTTTTTTTTTTTGAAGGAACAGGCGGTTCTCACACATTATTTTTATTTATAATTTTAGACTTGTGAATTACAAAATTTATAACTCAATAGTGCAATATATATCTCTTTTTGTCAGGAAAAGTTAAATATCAGGCTCATTGAAGGCCCTTCTACCTAAGCTCCTTGGCATCACTCAAGAATATAAGAAAAAGAAATTCAAAACCTATATTATACCTTGAATGGCATCTAGCTTCTTAGAAGAATTTGAAACCTAATCACATGAAGGTACTGCAGCCACTATATACAGGTTGGCCTCCAAGTCATGACTAAGATTGGCAAACTTGCTTTCCAAATGTGGCTTAATGTACAGCAAGCTGAATGTGTTCTATCTTACATTTTACCTAAATAACTTGCTTAATTAGTTAGGTGATTGCTACTCCGGTTAAGACATCCAGTGAAAATTAGCCTTTTATCTGACCACCTAATATTTAACCTTCTCTACCCTTCTAAGATTACAGCAGATTACAGATTACCCAAGCCTGTGGTAGTTGCTTACACCTGTGGCAAGTAGGGAGAAGACAGCTGCTCTTTATCAGAAACTTCACATATATAGCCATATCATTTAAGCAATTGAATAGAATTCAGTATAAGTATAGGGCAGAAAGAGATGGAAGAGGAGTATTTGAACATGTAGTAATGGTTGTTAGTAGTTATTGTTGGATATTATGGAGTTGAAGTTTCTTATAGATGTTGTTATCTAACCTTGTACAATGAACCTATATTGTCAAAGGAGTAAGTGAGGAACTTTCGTTGTTATTATCAGCTTGTGTTGCAGGGGTAACTAGAATTCCTGGTCTTTATGTATTATTCTACTAGGTTTCTCCAATCACCAGTATAATATCTGCAGACTAATCTGGCTTATTGTTAGTTGCATTGGCATTGGCTGCCATATTCCTCTAGATACAGTGGAGTGCAACTCCTTGGATATTTTTGAATAATAATAGTTGTACACCATTTTTTAGATGTATCTAGTCTAACCATCAACAAGTAAACAATATCAAATTTGGTAATAATAACCATATTAATCTTTTGGAGTGAGTAAACCATCTGTCCTTTTTCTGTAAGACCATAAAAGAGAGAAAAATTCTGAAGCCTACATCTTAAGAGAAGTTATCACTTCTGAATATGGTCTTGAGAAAAGAGAGTCAACTGGTTAGGGGTTGATGTTATGGAGAGTAAGTTTATAAAAGAAAGAGAGGTCTAGAAAAAAAACCTCCAGAAAGAAGGGAAAACTTAACTTTGGCAAAAGAGGGAAAGAGAAAGGGGAAGGGATAAGTTTTAACTAAAAGAGTATATAGAAAGGATAGGTGAAAATAGGAGAGAGGAAATAAAAAGATATAGAAAAGGGAAAGTAAAGAAAAAGGAAAAAAAAAGAATGAAGAAGAAAAAGTAAACATTCAAAAGTTTCCTAAAAAGAAAATTTTCAAGTGCAGAAGAGGAAGTAGAAAAGAATTTTTTTTTTTTGTAGACAACAATATAATTTTGTTTATTTATTTATTATAATATATAGTAAAAAGTCAATTTTTATATCAATAAACTGGTTATAACTAGGGCTTCTAATGATACCATTTCGATATCACTTCGATATCACTTCGATACTTAAATTTACTATAAAAATATATGAGTAGGTCACAATCCATATATTAAATTTACTATAGATCGGTACCATTTTGATACCAGTTTAGTACTTTTTCAGAGCCCTAGTTATAACAATACAAATAATCTGGCCCAGGCATATTAATATAAAAAGATTTGTCTGTAGTCTAGTCTATACATATGTTCATATTTAATTCAAAAATTTTTTGAAAATCATATTATGTTCATATTATTAAGTAACAATTAATAAATAATTGAGCATCATATTTAATTTGAAATTGTATTGTCAATCAACTTTTCTTTTATAGTAATAAAGAAACATGTATAATCTGATTCAAAAAAAATCAGAATTGAATTTTTTTATAATTTGATAAATAATAATTTAAATTAAATAAAATTTTTAACATTTATTATTTATAATAAAAAAAATGATATATTAAAGTTTTATAAATATAAAAAACTCTTTTCTGTTCATCACTAAATTTTCTAATTAGGAAATACTCTTCAAAAAGAAAAAAACTTATCAAGTTTTTTTATTAAAATACTTTAAATTACAAGAAACTATTATTGACAGGTATAATCTTGCAAGTACAGTAATTACATTAATCTTATCAATTTATAGACATTACAAGAAAAAACCAACAACTTGTCCTCTTCTTGTAAGAGGGGAAGATAAAAATCAAAATTTCTGATTCATAGTAAAATCTCAGAAAGCCAGCATCCCTATCACCACTACAGCCAATAGTATGCCAGGTTAAATATCTCCCTAGACACTGTAGAAACTCAAGAAAGGCCAAATTCCATCTAATAAATCAAACAACCTCATCACCTTTCTTGAGCTAAAAGGATGTTAGACTTCCCATTAACTATACAAAGATAAGAGAAAATCTTATCATATATACTTTCAAATTATAAAAACCAAAACTAGCTTACCCTCTCCAAAACTAGTGTATCATGAACACATAGTCAAAAAAAAAAAGAGCAATTAACAAGTAAACAACACGTACTTATTAACAAAACATGTCGACACATGTCATTACCAAGTATACATCAGTAATATTCCATCATGTTAATAATAAAACACATTAGCATTATAACATATCAACAATAGACCACGTCAATTTCAACTATAACAATATCAGCCAGACAATCTTATACTTCATTAACAAATAAACAGTCACGTGTAAACAGTTACATATCCCAAAAGAACAGCAAACAACAACACCAATATCAAATATTTACACGACCCAACACGAAACAAACAATCATGACTGAACAAAATCCAATCACAATATCTGACAACAACCCAAGCTCTTAGACAACTACGACAAATCTGAATGGCAACATACTTCTAGATATTATTCTTGTAAAAATAACAAGACGCTATGTGTCAATAATCTATTTAAATTAAAAAGAATATTATTCTTACAGAACCCTCCAGAACCCAACAATTTCTCTTCTTAGCAACCACCCTTCCAAATGACTCATTCCTATTACAAATCTCATTAAACCAGAGTCACCGACTCTCTCAATCTTCTAAATAGAATTTATAATGTCAAAGAATAACAATAGTCTTCACACACAGGTTTTGATACTCAAAGAGAAATTTATTTAGCTGCTAGATGAATTTCTAGACTTTTACAACTCACTTCAAAAAGTTTTCATAGAAAACAGTCAATTAAGAAACCAAGTTTTGCAAAAGGTCATAGCAAAAAAATGAAATTACTCCAAACATATTCCCTGAAATATAATCCAAATCAACAAAACTCCATCCAAAAAGCCCAAAACATTTTCCCTTACAAGGACATACCAACTGGGAAGCACCATTTACTCAGGTGCAACTAGTATATTCTTTCTTAGCAAAGCTTCAAAGTTGTCAAATTTTTACATAGAATCACAAAACAACTTTCTAGCTACCAATCAAACCATACAAACAAATATCATGACCACCCAATCACATTTCAACTCATATCAAATAAACATACAATAAATTCTATAGATATATTTACCAATCACAAACAGCTTTCCATCAAAGAATCATACAAGGATGAGTCATTCATGTCTATAGACTTGAACTTTCCTATTCCAGAAAACATAGACATGGGAAACACCATAGGCTCATACATATACCAGGAAAAAAAAGTAACTACAACAATATCCTATTAAACACTTTTGTTATGTTACAATTAACAACTATCCCTGGTCAATATAAATCAAGCCTCACATTTTTATGGTCTCCTTCATACATTTTTAGGAGTGCCCAACCTTCCAGACAACAATGGAAGCAAGAACGTTTAGTAAAAAGAAACATCTACAAAGAAAAATTGGATACAGCATACAAGAAACTCTGGGCATATGAAGAAGATCTTATCTTAAAACACTTAGGAATAGAAGATTATGATATAATCATCAATACTGATAATGATAAAAATAACCTAAACATTTCTGATAATCTTATCACAGAATACCATTATATCATTCAATAGATATCCAAACTCACCACAATAAGAAACAATCCAAAAGAACTTATCAAACTTCTATTAAATATCGATCAGCAATCCAAAGATGAAGTT